ACTAATTATAAATTAGAAAATAATCAAATAACTACATTATTAGGACAAAAAGGTATAAAAGCTATTGTTGCGTGTTGTCACACCTGGCCAACCTACCTGGGACAATGGCCCACTCATGGCGATCCACGTCACATTCCTGCTGAGATGGCACACAATGTCGAGGTGGGCTACATCCGAACTGCTCGAGCCGAAGTCCATCTGCCGAGGCTCCTTTTTGTCCGAGGCCCATTGACCGAGGCCTACGAATCGAAGCCAAGCTGCTGGAACCTGCTGAGAGCAACTGAGGCCCTCAAGTGGAAGTATCATGACAAATGGCCGAAGCCCCGAAGCTGATGCGCGAGCCTCTGAACCACAAGGAAACATTCTCCATGGTCACTTCTCCCAAGAGATCGCCTGCACAGATCTTATTCGAATGATTGATGGAACGTTTGTCATAAGCATAAAGGTCAAGTCTTGTCACTAGCATGGAGGCCCTACACAAGCAATAAATGCGTCGCAAGCTAGCAAGTCAAGCCCCATACCCAGGAAAAGATGTTTGAACTAAAGAGATGAGGCCACGTGCCACTTCATCCAAGGGCTCCCATTTCATATGTACTATTATAAATACTTCCCTTGTGTAATATCAAAAGGCTAATGCAAGAATCAATACAAAGAACTACATTTACTCAACTCTCTCTCATTTTACTTGTAATACATAAATCGAGTTTATATACATTTACCTATACATTTATGAACACCGGTTGGTAATTATTGTACAATCGAATTACGAACAACCCGTTGGATTCCGAACATCACCGTCCCGCGTCGTTGGGCTACTCTCACGCCCTTTGAACCGCTCGTTTTAGACTGTCCACGTGTCTTAGCGTGTCGGACATTCTCCCACGCAAGCGCGGGTGGAACCGGCATCTGTTGGCGCACTTTTTGGGGTCAACAGCTATCCCAGCAAAGAAATTCCCTTTAGAAACAAACGTAGGATTAAATTGAAATTTAGGAAATTTTTTAGAAAAATCAATGCTAGTACTAGAAAATAATATTATGTACAAAAATAGTAATGGAACTTTAAGCGTTAGATTTGAAAATTATAATTATCAAGCAGAACAGACAAAGTATAATGAAGAAGAAAATGAAGGAGAATGTGGATATTTTGAAATAGAGGACTATGACAGTGAAGATGAGATTAATGCTTTAGATGAAGATAGTGAAGAGGATGAAAGTGGGGACAATGAAAAAGAATTTGGATATATAGCTATGAAATATTATAGAAATCTTAGAAAAACTAGAGAAAAAGAAACTAGAATGTTAATAGAAAAAGATCAAGTAGATACAAAAACCAAGATGGAAAAAACTAGCAAAAGAGCTAAAATAGAAACGGATCAAGAATTTGGAAAAAGAAAAGAACTCATGAATACTAAATATGACATAGGAGGTAAATATCATTTTTCCCTTGCAAGAGACTTTGAATGGACTAATAAAAAATATAAAAGTCGAGGAAGAAGACAAACAAAAGAAGGGTGTAGTTTACAATTAGCAAGCGACATAGGATTAATTTTAGAATTAAATAATTGTAAACCACAAGACAGACTTAGTACTATAACTAAATGGAAAAATTCTGTAATTATGGCATATAATAATGTACCTATACAAATGATTGTAGAGGAAATGTGGCTTACTTAGAAACTTATTTAGGAAAGACAACTTTAGATGTATGTTACAGCAAAAAGACTAAAATCAGACGAAATTAGATTAAGATGATTGGAGGAGATAATCCTAGAAATTTTACAAATTTTATTAGAGAATTAATTATAGGCTCTAATCTCATTATAGATAATATATATGAAAAAAATAAAGTCTTAGAAGACTTAGATTAAAGACAACAAAAAGTCTCAGGATACCCACAGAAATACAAATAAATAAGATGATAAAACTAAATTTGATAGCTTTAATAGACACATGTTGCACATTTAATATAATTAGAAAAAATTTAGTTCCAGAAGATTATAGACAGAAATTAAAATATGAAATAAGATGAAGTCAAATGGATGGTAGTAAAATGGGATTCAAAGAAAGACTTTTTGATGACTGTAATATTAAATTTCAAGAAAGACAATATAGTTTAACATCCACATTAATTAGTTCATTAATAAAAGATGAATTTGTTATGTATAAAATTCTTATTAAGAAGAAATGAAAGCTTAACTATTACTCCGGATGTCATAAGTTTTGGAAAAAACACTTCTATTATTAATACTGTAGAATCATTAGAGTTGCGAGCTAAGCATGATGGCTGCTAAGACCCAGAATTTGAAGAAAATTTAGAATTTTTAGATAATTTATCTTTAGAAACTTTAAAAACCGATTTCATACCAAGAAATAAAGAATTAATAATTTTTAATAAGACATCTTCTAAGATAGATAATAGAGACAAGATTTTAAAATTAGCCGAAAGAATTCAAATAATAGGAGAATCCCCTATATTTAATGAGCAGTTACAAAAGCAATTTCAAAATATTAACAATTGTAATTGTAATTTTTTTCTCTCGCAATATAATAATTCAGTCTTAGCAATCTAGCAATATCAGATTCGTAAATGGAAAACTAATTTCAATTTCCATTGATGACTGGAAGCTTCTTCACGAGAGAATTTTGTAGGCCATGAGCAGAAATGCTTGGAAAAGGTATGGAGCCCAACAGCTTTCGTCCCCTTGAAAATTGTTGAGATAAGAAAAACTTGTCATCATCATCTGCAGCTTCACAGTGAGATGTGCAAAGTAGCAGCAGCACCCCAAGGAAAAGCAGAAGCATCGTCCCTCTCAATGCAGCCATTTTTCCGATCAAGAAGCAATCATATATTTTCTTTTATTATTTTCTGATATAATCGTGTAATGCTGCTTATATATGAGAGGGAAGGGTGGATTTTTACTATATTAAGGTATCCAAGTTTGGACCGTCAGTATCTCGGATGGTTAGAAATGAGCAGTTCAGGAACGCCATCCAGTGACCTGTTAAACCCTATAATTTAGACCTTGGGGCTGTAAATTGTGCCAAGTAACAGAAATTCTAGTTGTTAAAAAGTTTCCCTACATCGTGACTTCATCACTTTTCATATTGATACCTATTTGATAGCCAATGGACATTTTCACCAAGCCAAAACCAACATCAATCTATCTACCTGGTCTTATAAAAATGGAGGAGCATTTTTCTTTCTTTAATCAATTATACCCTTATCAACAATTTCTAATTAATTATTCGTCCTTCAATTGATACCATCGAACCACTTGATCTAAAATCTACTATTAGAAATAACTAGATGTATAAATTTTGAGAATTCATTTTTCCATTAAAGTCTTCACGCATAAAGTTTTCGATAAATGCGTAATAACAAGACTTAAATATATGAGATATACCATGTTAAGAATTATGAATTAATAGATTGAGACAAAACAAATGATTAAGTTGAGAAGATGTATAGTATTTATGTCTACGAAGCACAATTGAGAATGCATAAATAGTGTAAAACACTAAAACTAGCATACGAGGAAAGATTCTATATCGATTCCATAATCAAAGTACTATGGTAATAATCTATGACAATTAAAATATATGACAATATCACGAAAATATGAAAAATATAATTAGCATCCCATCAAACAACAAAAACACATGCATGCGAATAAGGGTAGATTAAAGACTAATCGAAATCATGGTGCGTGCATAATAATGTGCAAATCACAACTTAATTGAAATGTAGAAAATGCACAAAAAAATAAAAAATAATAAAAAATAATAATAATAATAATTGAGGGAGATAATATAAAGCGTGTTGACTACTGGAAAAGGATAATAAGAGTTATTAGCTACTTGAGATATTTTCGTAGCTATGGACTGCACTATATCAGATATCCAACATTCGTTGAAGGATGTAATGATGCTAATTAGATATCTTATGTAAAAGACACAAAATTTACAAGTGAATATGTGTTTACATTAGGAGATGCAGCTATATAATCAAAATCCTCTAAACAATAGTTACAACTAGATTTACCTTGGAATCTAAGTTTATAGCCTTGTATAAACGTGGTGAAGAAGTTGAGTGGCTACAAAAGTTTTTATAGGATATTCCAAGATGGGCACAAAGCAACATGTACGATAATAAGTCTATACATATACATCCTATACATATACTACAGGGCAACTACTCTCCATCGGGATTATCTCTATATACTATGTTAGATCAAAGGATAACATTATGGATTTGCTAATCAAATGGTTAAATAGAGAATTAGTTGGAAAGACATCGAAATGAATTGGACATATGCCCTTGAGCAAATGAGTTAATACAATGAAAAACCAACTTTGTTGATTGAAGATCTTGAGATCTAGGTTAAAACAAACAATTGACTTAATTGAATCACTATGGGGGATAATATACCTTGTCCATCCCTATGATGTAATAATGATACCCATAAGGATGAAGAATAAGCAACATGATTTGAATTATACTTATGCGTTGAAAATCAAGCGAAGTAATGTGGGTTATTTATAATAAGAAATCAAATATGTGAGAGAGAAGGTTCACTTCCAAGAGAATTGTGTGAGGCTCAATTTTTAGAAAGTCTCGCAAAACTAAGCATATGCTCATGATTATAAACAAACATAACAATTAGAGCTAAATTTTACTGAGAAGAATCCTATGTGGAGTGTAACATCATTTACGTATAAAATAGAACAATTTAAATGTCTATTGTTTAGTCATAATGGACGATTCAAAGGATAATGTCTACCTATACCATATAGGTTTAAACTATTGAACTTTATCATCAAATCATTATGTTCTCATTTCTATGACTCAATTTCTCCTGATACATTCTTTTGGCGTGGATTTACATGTTGTTAATAGATCGATAAGAGTAACTTTCTATTTAACCAAAAATTTGATTTTGACCATCTTTTTAATATTTTAAAACAGGGCAAAAGCGTAATTTTCTATTTATCACATTAAATAATTACATTTATTAAATTAAAAATTAAAAAATAAGAAAAAAATAAACATGCAACTGCATTCACGCTTGCGTTGGTGTCTGCAACTCCACCACCGGAAGAATGGGGAAACGAATATCTAGCACCAACTGCTATAAATTATAATCGCGGCCATATACCTAGGGTCTTGCTTATTCTACCCCAACCGAACTAAAGTGTCAGGCTTTGAGCTTTCGAAAATAATGTGGAATGCTCCTTGTCCGAGAGATTGAAAACCCTAACCGACCCATTAGTAAAAATCGAAGAAAAAACCCCCCACCACCTCCCCAAGCAATATGGGTGTTTGAAGGGTAGTACTGAGTCGGGTCGAATTTCTCCAGGTTCCGGTGGAATCATCAAGCTGAAAATGAGCTTTGTCGGTAGGTATAGGTGTTCGAAGAAGAGTGTCGAGTTGAGTCAGATCTCTCCAGACTCCAACGGAATCATCAAGCTGAATGATTTTCGACTCGATTGTTGTACTGTTGGAGAAGACTGGCTATGGCGAGGCGGTAATTCTTGTCCTTGCAAATGCTCCAATTCAGTTTGATGATTCCACTATCTATGGCGAGGTGGGTGACAGTGGTTGGCGGCAATATGCTGAGGGAAGTTGAGTATCTACAAAAAAACAAAATTTTAACTTATTATTTATTTTAATGTAGTAAATAGAAAGTTATTATTTTACCTTTGAAAAATATTAAAAATATGGTCAAAATCAAATTTCCTAGTCAACAAATAAACGTTTGGATGAAAACTGTCCAAAAGGGCCTCCGCCGTAACGTTTCAAAAGATTTGAAGTAGCGATTGCAACAAATTAAAGGTTTAGAGTAAGTCTACTAATGTTTTACAGATTTGGGGCTTCTAATGCAATTGTTTCTTACAAATATGTAGTTATTTCGTTTCGAGTATCCCACTTATATATTTTGTTTTTCTATATTGTTAATTCTATCACCAAGTCATATTGCGTGAAACTCGACGCAAAACTTTAAATAAGACAATTTCGAAAAATAAAAATAATATTGATTAAAAAGAATTAATTAAATTCAACCCAGTCCTTTCTAGACTATTTTACACTAGATTTGTTTCCATTCTTACGAATATTATATTTGTTTGATTTAATGTTGTTTACATGCATCTAGTGACTTCTTGTGGAACATTGATTCTCAATTGGATCCTATTCTCAACACAATTTTGTTAACACATCCAAAAAAATGGCCTAATTGTCCAAATCAATAGTCTGATTTCACATTTGATGAATTAGACAACCGTAGCAGCAACGATGTCTCACTATATTAATTGAAAATTAATTAAATATAAAATAATCAAATTTTGGGCCGTGTATATAGATTTCGCATGCTATAAATTGAAGGAACATAAAAATTTTACCATAGTAAAGAAAGAAAGGTTTTGCACATCCAAATGGAGAACACAATAAAATTGCTGATTTTGTTACTAATTTTCGTAGCCATGGGAGATGGAGCAAGAACAAAAATGCCCACTAGTCTTGACACACGTAGGGTTGTAGATGGTATTTGCAAGACAATGATCGAGACACAAGGTTATACTTGCGAAGAGCATAAAGTAAGTATTTTCAACATTTTTTATGATCTTTTGCATACAAATCCCCTTTACATAATAGTTTGACAATTCCGGTTCAAGACTATCCGATTTGTAAGAATCGAGCCAAACCAAATCGTGATAGGATCAAGGATTGGTACACTATAATGAACCAATCATGTCAAACTTGATTGTCTAGCTCGACAACCCATGAAAACTAGACCCGTTGGCTCGATTTTTCGAAGTAAAAATAAATTTAGAAGTGTTCGATATCAACTATTACTAGTAAGTTCTACTTGTAAATTGTTTTCATATTATACAAATAGTTTCACGGTGTAATGCATCTATGAGAATATTCATTTACGTTTAATTTTTAAATGATATTAAATTCTAAAGGAAAAAAAATGAAAAATCACGGGCAGGACCGGCCTGCCCACGGGCTGCTTCAGTCCTCATATTTGGAATATTGTGTGGGTTAAGATAAATTGGTTCAAACCTACCTTAAAGTCATATTTTTCTTAATCCTTTTTCATAAAAGAAACCTCCTCCTCCTCCTCTTCTTCTTCAAAGGGCGATGCTACCATATTGAGCCCGTTCCTGGAGAAGCAGATCAATATATCTGTTATGTAGCTTACCCTTTAGACCTTTTTGAAGAAGGTTCTTTCTTCTTCTTCTTCTTCTTCTTCTTCTTCTTCATTTTTTAAGAAATGTTGTGTTATATGTGTTAATCCTTTTCATATCCTACTTCGATCTGAAACTTCCTCCTAGAAGGTCCAAACCAACATCCATTTTGATAGCTTACGTGTATATGTAGACCCAATAATTATTGATGACTAATTCAATGTAATACTTTCAGGTGACAACAAAAGATGGTTACATTCTTAGCATACAAAGAATGCCAAAGGGAAAGTCCGCCACTAAGAACGGAGTTAAACCGCCAGTTCTCCTTCAACATGGACTTATGATGGTTGCGATCTTTTTAGCTTAATTTGCTTTTATCTATAGCATTAAGTAATTCAATATTTTTGTTACTTATCAAACACGTTCTAGAAGCATTAATTGACGAGTATTAGTTTATGTGGGACCCAGGATGCTACGACATGGCTATTAAATTCTCCGGCCGAATCTTTAGCATTCATTTTGGCCGATAATGGGTATGATGTTTGGCTCGGCAATACTCGAGGGACAAACCAGAGCCAAGGACATACATCACTTAGTCCGAATGATCCGGTAATTTTAACTGTTCAACGACTTCGAACCTTCGATTAAAATTATAAATTATTTGGCAAATAAATATTTATTCTTTCGTTTTCGAATTATTTTTGGCTTGCACTCATGAACTATATAGGCTTACTGGAATTGGTCATGGGATGAATTGGTTGCTTATGATCTTCCTGCAACTTTCCAATATGTTTACGAGCAAACTGGACAGAAACTGCACTATGTTGGCCATTCCTTGGTAATACTAATTTATTTATACACTTTCCAATATGTTCAATTTTGCTTAATGGAATTATTTACTTTTTATTTTTATTTTTTTTTAAATTACTAGTACTACACTTTATCTTCTCCATTGTAGTGTCTCCTATTATATTTTTGACACCATCTCAGTACATTACTTGTAATATACTGTATTGACGTCTACTATTTTGCTAAGAAGAATTGATGTGTACAAGGTTATGTTTGCTTTGTACCCGCATGTTTTGATTAATTACGAGTAGTTGGTTTTGGGATTGTAGCTCTTATCATTTATGCATTTTTCTTTTCTTTGGATTGCTCGGGTATGTTCAAAGTAATTGTATTTTACTTGTTGTCTGATTGCTCAAGTATGCTTGGTGTACTTGTACACGATTTTGATTAATAGAATTTTCCATTTGTCGATAAAAAAAATAAAAAAGGAATTGATGTACGGAAATTTATTGAGGTGGCAAGTGAGTGAAGCTTGCAGATTTAGCGCCTGTTTGGTTTAGATAAAAAAAATAATAAAAAATAAAAAAATTGTACTAACTGCACTACGTGAATCTCAGGGGACTCTAATGGCATTAGGTGCATTTGCACAAAAAGAGGTGACGAACATGGTAAGATCAGCTGCTTTGCTCAGTCCTATTGCTTATCTCGGCCAGATGCCATCCCCTCTCGCAAGGAGTGCTGCGGATCTATTTATAGCTGAAGTAAATTAACCATACCTTACCTTAACTATTGCCCGGTTTTTCAAATTCTATTAAGATAATTGGCTTACAATCTCGCATGACAGGATTTATACTGGTTGGGGCTCAAAGAATTTTCTCTAGGAGGGTGAGAAATACTTCAAAAATCCCTTTCTTCATGTTCATCTTTGATTTTCCTAACTCATATGACGCGTAATCTTTTCGGGATAAAAAAAAAAAATTCCAATAGTCACTATACTTTCAACGTTGTTTATGAGCTTTAAAACTTTTTGAATAGTCACTCCCTTTCAAAGTTGATTCCCCCACCATTCAATGATAATAACCTCTATATGAAATGCTGATATGGATAGAAAAAGAGTGGTTTGCATCGCATCTACTAATATTACCGAAAATATTGTGAAAATAATTTTTAGAGAAGGTTTTATTGAAAACGATTTTTAACGTTATTTTCCATCCGTCACTCTAGAACGTTCAAAAGATTTAACGATTTTATCTGCCACATCATCAAAATCGTTAATTTTCAAATCACAGTGGGATATTGAAAGTATGGTGATTGTAGAGAAAAAAATGTGGAAAGTATAATGGCCATTAAAATTTGTAACCCTAATTATCAACAAAAAATGGTTTTTGGAATCTGCATTAATCGTATTCTGTTTAGTAAGCAACATTTTTTAAGCTCAACAGAGAGGCTACTTCAAAACTTGTGGATGATATCTGCAAGACACCAAACATCAATTGTACTAATTTGATGGCTATATTTACTGGTTAGTACGTATTATTCATTGTTTCAATATATTTGTACAATTTAGAAGCATAAAAGAGTATTGTTTTCCATTAATGTCTTGTCAATTTGGTATGAATAGGTCCTAATTGCTGCATCAACACTTCAAAGTCATATCTAGATCATGAACAACCTACTGCAACAAAGAACATGATCCATCTAGCCCAGAGTAAGTTCTTAAAAGGAATCATTCTAAAGTCGACCACAAAGTACAAAGAAAGTGAAAGAAATCGCAGCATGCCGAAAACATAAATTTGGTTCAGGAATTCTTACTTGAAATGATGAATTTCAAGATTTTTGTGTGGTCGAATCACCTTACTATTTCATGTCCTGAATTCTTCATATTTTAGTACTCCAGTAGTCCCAATCCCAATTTCAATGGAAGGGAATTATTATCAATACCCCACATGGACAATCCAGGACCCATATTTTCCAACAGAAAGAAAGAACAAAGATAAAAATAAATTTTATCGATTATAGTATCCTCTATGCAATACTCATTTTGTGGTTTATGCACAGTGATAAGAGGAGGCAGCATAGCAATGTATGATTATGGCAACTCAGGCGAGAACAACAAATATTATGGTCAGCCGACTCCTCCCAAGTACGATATGGCAAGCATTCCAAATGATCTTCCACTTTTTCTTAGCTATGGAGGGAAGGACATGCTTTCTGATGTTAACGATGTACAAACTTTGCTCGAGAAACTCAAAGGCCACGATCCGGATAAACTTGTAGTTCAATACAGGGAGGATTATGCTCATGCAGACTTTGTTTTCGGTGTCAATGCTAAGCAAGTTGTGTATAATCCTCTCATGGCCTTCTTCCACCTTCATTAATCAACTATCAAATGTGTTCAGATCCAATTTTAGTTCATTAGTTTTGTTAGAACCCCTTGTTAATCAGAAATGAAATGTTCAAATTGAGTAGAAAAGGTTTTACATTGAGCGGAGCCATCTCTGGAGCATGGAAATAGCAATATTTAGTTTTTATGATGTTGTCTATCATTTTGTACAGTTAAACTTTAGCCACAACAATATGTTTGTTGAACCCGAAAAATGTACCTTCAACGTGACCAACAAATCCCAACTCCTATCACGATCATGTTAGCTATGGAAACTAAACTCCACATGTTGGTCATGTCCAATACATTACCAAGTTTACGAAGGTCATTACTCTTGAAGTAGAATCACCAACGTCAAAATAAACAGTGTACCCTAATAAGTAGAGTAACTTACGATTTTATTAGAAAAAAATGGCAACCTTTGTGCATTGATCTAGGACATATCGATTCACGATTGAAACATAAGTTGCATATATGTGCGCTTCTGTACTCGAGCTCATATCAAGTTATCACCCTACTATTGAAGGCATTTAATCGCATTTTCAAATATTATAAATATAGTAATAGTTTAGATAAACAAATAAGGAAAATTAATTAAAGGACGAATCAAAACGTCAAACATTGTGGCATTGTGGTAACTCTATTGGATACATATCCTAACAAAAACTGTTATTTGCCTTCAAAAATGAATTATGTTTTCAAAGCCAACTGTGTAATTTCTCTCTCAATTTGTAAGGGATTTTTCCTCTTGGAAGCATTTTTTGTAATTTGAGAGAGACCCCCCCCCCCCTCCCCCCCAAAACAGTTGTCTCGGGTGTGAGTAGTGAAGGAATCCAATTACTCTATTAGTGCCTCATTAAAGTTGGATTTGCAGAGGCAGTTTCATTCTACAGATTTCCCCCTTTCCTAATCGTTTTCTTCACAGTACTATTTGAACTACTCACATTCAGCTTGATCTTGTCTTGATATTTTCAGGCTGTATTGAAGCCATAGTCCCGTAATTATGAACCTAAAGTTTCTGATACATTTTCCACATTACTCGAGATGTGATTTAACATGAATTTTAGATATGTTAGTAAGTGCAATAGATTTAAGGATTTTAGTTTCAAGGTTTCATCAGTCCGTATGTAGTACACTACAACCTAAAATTTAGCAAGCATATACATAGAAAGTGGAATAGGAAATACTAATGAAAAATACCAGAATATCAAGAAGATACTTCAGAAATGAAATCATTATTAAAAGCTGCATGTGCATTATATGATTCGTTGACTGAAGTTATTAATGACTTTTATCAAATTATATGACTAAATAATATAGAAAACTAACTTCAAATACTTTGCCTTGTTGACACAAAAGACATGTTTCAACTTAACTTGCCACGTCTTCTTTAATCGTATACTAATAAGAGTTTCTATCAAGGTCTTAAAATGGCTTATTTAAAAAATATTAACATTTTTAGTGTTTTTTTCTTATTTTTAAACTTTGTAGAGTTAAGTTTAGCCCTCACTCATCGATTCCTGGCTCCACCACTAGATGATAGACAAGTTTATTACAGTAAGAGGTGGATCATAACCAACAAGAAGCTGAGGCCTTTTCCTGAAGAAATGAAAATAATCCTCACCATAAAATCATAGAAGACATATATTGATTGAGAGTCTGAGACTACAAATGGGGTAACCTGTACAATTTAGTTACATTACGTTTCTTATAGCAAAATTAACCAAAAAGCCAATGTCTCTTAAATACAATATCAAAGTAACCCTCTGCAGTAGATCACAAAAAGAGATGAAAATCCACCACAGGGTTAACTTGTCAATATATAAGTTGCAAAAACGTAGCTCAACTTATTAATTTAAGTCTGCTTACCACAGAGGAACTCCCAATATTTAGTCAGCATATGATCCAACGGTCTCACTCGATCCCACTTCCCAGTACAGAATATAGCATATGCATCTGCAGCATACCTGAAAAATCACGAGAATGATGTTATATTCCTACTGCAACATATAAAATAACAGTATCATACAACTTTCAACAACTTACTTGCCAATACCAGGCAATTCTGTGACATGAGTCCAGCTTTCTTCCAGATACATACGAGAGAAATGTTGTATTCCTTCTGCTCTCTTCCTATATAAACCTAAACTCTGTATCACCTTTTCTATGTCCTCCTTGGCAACCTCTGTAGCACTCTTAGCATTCGGACACAATGTGAAAAACTCTGATATAACTTTCCCAGTCTAAATGAAATTCACCAATATCAGAGCAATGTTATAAATAAAATCTCACGTCCAAAGAAATATGCAAGCTTGAAGCAAGAATATAAAAAGAAATATTAGTTCAACAGGATGAAATCCATGAATGATTAGCTATACTAACTGCCATTGACAACACACTTCACCTACTAGTTTTTGTTTTCACAAGATACAGGAAGCAGGTACCGTAGCAAAACATTCTCAAAAGCTAGGTATTATTCTCAAAGGCCTACTGCATACGAAAAGTTCTTTTGACATGATGCAGGCCATAGTAGCATAAGAGGAAAGAAAACATTTTTGACATTCTCGTAGCCATTCCAAACTAAAGTCCAATTTTCCGAACTACTATAATAATCTCTACTGAAAACAAAACAAGCAATTATTAGGCAATAGTATTGCTGCAATCCTTCAATGTAACATTTAAAAATCAACATTTAAATTTGATCATTAGAATCACAAAGCTAATATTTTAAAATATGACTCAGATCAACCATCACAGAGTCTAATTATAATGTATTCCCAGATAATCCACAAGTTCTCTTGGTCAGATTAATAAGATACCTGCCGGCCAGTTGTCACATTAAGAAGCATGCATATCACCAAGACCCTCCAAGGGTCAAAAACATGATCTTCTTGAAGGAGGTTATAAGGCGATCTTGGAGGCTTCCACATATTATCTGGAGTTCTTCTTTTATAAGCCTCATCCCACTTCTCGTCAGCAGATAGAACACTTTTGGCTGTAACTTTATTTTTAACCTTTCGAGGTCTAACTTTGGACTTAGTTGTGCCATCCAACAAGCTCGTAACTGCATTGTCTTCCTCTTGCTTTACATGGTGAAAGTATGGAGAAACCTTCCTAGCAGTGAGAACGTTTTTAGCTTGTGACTTCAGCAATTCAATCTTCACATCATTTGTTTCTGCCTCCTCTCCAGTCTCTTTATTCCTAAAGTAAGGGGATACAACTCGAACATTTTTGTAAGATCCTTTATGACCCCTTTTACCAGTACTCGGTGTCTGAATTGAAATTGTTGCATTTTCTGTCACTGTATTTTTAACCTTTCGAGGCCTAACTTTGGACTTAGTTGTGCCATCCAACAAGCTTGTAACTGCATTGTCTTCCTCTTGCTTTATATGGTGAAAGTATGGTGAAACCTTCCTAGCAGTGAGAATGTTTTTAGCTTGTGACTTCTGCAATTCAATCTTCCCATCATTTGTTTCTGCCTCCTCTCCAGTCTCTTTATTCCTGAAGTAAGGGGATACAACTCGAACATTTTTGTAAGATCCTTTATGACCCCTTTTACCAGTAGTCGGTGTCTGAATTGAAATTGTTGCATTTTCTGTCCTGATTCTCTTTTCCTTTTTCAGGTTTTTACCACTATTGTGGGGCCTAACTGTGGCCTGACTTCCAGATAAACCGGCCTTAAACAAGAGGGCCGAATCATCTTTATCCATTTTCAATTTGTCTTCCACACTTGCCTCTTCTGCTTTCACTTCATTCCCCCTAATCCAAGGTTTACAATCACCTATTTTGAAAGCTTTTTTATCAGTACTGTCACCTGTATATGCAAATTGGGAAAAGAAATCATCTAAGGAAGCCTTTCCAATCTTACAAACTGGAGGCTTGCCATTGCCATCACCATTTGACACGTTGTTAATTCCGTTGCCTTGGTTTTCCTTTTTATTATCTTTAAATTTCTTCCTTCGCTCTCTCTTATCCTCTATATTACCCTCATTTTTATCGCCTGAAACGTTTACAGTTTCAATGCCCAAATTTTCATCTGCCTTGTCCTTTTTTAACCTTTTCCCTTTTTTCTTACTGTTCTTCTCAACCCCATCAATATTGCTCTCAGAACATTGACTAACATTTTCTGACTTCGTTCCCTTGGCACAATCAACATCATAATAATGCTTATTATAAACTCTATTTTTCTTCACGAAATTACCAGTAGTAGCAGTATCATCAGAGCACACCTTGTGGGAATTGTTGCGTTTGGGTTTTATCCTTTTCAGATTAGGCTTCAGATTTTGATGCTCCTCTTTAGCTGGTGTTGAGACAAAACAGATTGATATTGAATCGGAACAAAAGCAATTGTCATTCTCAACCGGATTTTTCTTCTTCTTTCGCTTCGCTGCATTCATATTCGCTACCTCGGAAGAAGACATATCAAGATGAAGGGACTTTTAACTGAACTGAGAATTGAGAAATTGAATTTTGAGACTAATTAATAAAAGGGAAAAAAATTATCTGCTCTTGGAGCAGACTTGGGGTGATTGCTGTGCTCAAGTCGAAAATTTACGAAAATTGATTTGAGGAAAATTTTCGCGGGGCAGGACGGAGGGTTTCATATATACAGACAGTTCATATATTTGGTCCATTCACCCCATCATCAATTTATATTATCTTTACTATTAAACAATATGTCTAACTAATTCTACTGAAATTTCTTTTATTATTTCTTTTATAATTTTTGCTCGTTGTTGTATTTTTTTTTTTACAATTTTTAGGATCTTTTATAAAAAATTTTCGACACTGAGAAATAGAGAGCTGAGTAATTTGTTTTCTGATCAGTAAAGAGTAGTCACATCTATTTATATGTAGAGCAAATAAAATATAGCTTCATATAACAACTAATCTTTCTATTTCTCTATTTTCTAAATAAGTATTAATATATTCGTTAAAACTTTTTAATTAACAAATAGAGTGAATTGTCCAATGGTCACTGAATTTTGCAAAAAGTTTTTAAGGGATTATTGAATTTTAAAAATCACCTAAATGGTCAATGAACTTTGCGAAAGGTTTCTGCGAGGTCATTGAACTTTAAAAATCACCTAAATGATTATTGAATTTTGTAAAAGATTTTCACGCAATCATTGAATTTTGTAAAAGATTTTCCAGTGGTCACTGAATTCAGTGACTCTTGGCAAACATTTTGCAAAGTTCAGTGACCATTTAAGTGATTTTTAAAGTTTAGTGACCCTGTAAAAATATTTTGCAAAGTTCAGTGGCCGCTTAAAAATCTTTTGCAAAGTTCAGTGACTATTTGGACAATTCACTCGAACAAATGAGTAAGGCAATGTAATCTAAAGACATAAAATATTATAACTTTAAAAATGATACGTTTGTAATGGCTTTTGAGTATTTTACCGTTTAGCAAATTAATTTTTTCATATCTTTTTTTCTTTTTTTAACTCTCTTTTAACTTTTTTTTCTTGACCTTTTAAAGAAGGCTTAAAATTGTAACCAAAAAGATTTTCATCATATTTAAAAAGACTTTAACAAACTCCCACAAATTGAGACACAAATTAGCTAACTTAACTCAGATGATTATTTTATCTTCTGGTCATGGAATACAGAATAAAGATGCTAAGAGCATTAAAAATATATTTTTGAAATAGAAATAAAATATTATTTGTGATAAATTAATTCTTACTTGGTGTTTCCCCTTTTAGGCTTTGCCCGAAAAATAACTAAAGTAAATGAAAATTATAAACAAGAGAAGATATGAAAAGAACTTACTTTAATTACGAAATCTTTGAATTTACAAGGATGTCTTTGAATTTACAAAGATGGTAGAGATTTTTGAGTGAAAGTGTGATAGTGTGCTTTGTGCTTTTTTCAGTGTGATTTTTCTTTTGTGAGAAGTGTGGGTATTTATAGACGTTGGTATATCACATCTATTCTGTTGGTGCTGTAAGTGTGCTATCAATAATTGAAGAATACTGTGCAAACTTTATAGGTGTGTGATCTAAAATTAAAGAAATAATGTAAAATTCTCCATGCGAGTAATTAAAGAATGCATTATTTGAAAAGATGCTTCTGACAATTTTGTCTTCACGCCTAATTTTGCTTGAAATTTGAGAATAAACTTTATAGATGTTTGAAATTTGTTCAAAAAGCTTTACTTTACGCCTCTTCTTTTTGACTTCTTCGTCTTGATAATTATTTCTCTGTCTTTCTATCTCGTCTTTTTCAATTATTAATCTTATATATCCATCATTTCTGCTATGACTTCTTCTAGTTCTAGATCCATCTTATTATTGTTGCCATCAGATATGTATGCTTCCTCTTCTGTATTTGATTGTGTTTCTATAAATTTTCCATTAGTCTCTTGAAACGTCATTAGATATAAATCCTTTTGTTCAACATTTGGTACTTGAATTTTTTCTGCTTTAATTCTTATGGCAAAGTGCTCTTGGTAGAAAATAACTCCGTTGTTCCATTGTACTACTAATCTGAAATCATTATTTTGAACTTCTATCAGGGCTTTGGTTTCTGATATTCTTCTTTCATAATCAATTTGTCTAATTTTTATTTTAATATAAATCTTTTGGGTCCTTCATAAATTAAAATATGATTATAAGCTGGAATTACAATGCTGTTATTTACACGAGGAGGTATGCAAATAAATTAAATCATTAAGGGATGATCTTTTAACTGATCAAGAATCTATTTAAGTTTCGGTGGAAAAACTTGAAAAGATTTGTTTAATATGTATATAGTATCTATCATTCAAAACTATAAAGCTGGGTATAAAAGATCTTCTTCATCAAAGATTATATAATCAAAGAAAATTGTTGGATAATTGTTTCTAAAAAAGGCTGAATTTTAGGCTGCATCGCATTTGGGACCATGTCTAAGGAAGTATCTGTTTTTCATTATGATAGTAATTTAAAATTTGAGCAAAATCTATAATTTCCTATACAACGAAATTCTTTATAGAACTTCGAATGATACTGGCACAATCACCAATTTTCTGTTCTAATTCATATGAAGTTTTCTTATCCTGCAGCTGTAGAATCTGTTAGTTCAATAAGTCTTTCTATCTTATTCGAATAATTTCTACTTTTAGAGGCGATGTCTTTAGAAATGAGTTTTTCAAGTGTATCTCTAGAACTAAGTCTGTCTAAACTATTATGCAATTTAATAATCTCATTTTGATATTTACTAATAGTTTGTTGGGATGAAGAAATTTGATTTTCAAGAAGTTGTAGTTTTTCTTCTAACGAATGCTTTCTAAGATTTAAATTTTTAACAACTTTGGTCATAGTTTTACAACTATCACAAAGTTGTATTGATAAAAATGATGGTGAATCTTAAGAGGGGGTTTGCATGGTCTATCTAATTCTTTCGGATATATGAAAATTAAATTCTATCATTTTCCTACAAAAATTTAAAGCTTCTTCAAGCATATAAAATCCTTTGAAAAGAAGGTCAAGAAATCTTTCTACTTGTTGTAGTACTTATAGCCAATAATTATATATACTAGGCTTTCTACCTTTAATTATTGTAAATAAACTAAAATTTTTGCTTTCTACTTGATTATGAATTTGTCTAAAATGGTTAGCTAGGATATTAATGCTGTCTAATTTTTGTTTAGAGTCGCGTGCCATCCAAAGATTATTCAGTAAACAACACTCCCTTTCTGGTACTCTTTCTAAATTATTTCCTCTGAATCGAAGATTAGATCCTTGATGGGCCACTTTTAGAGTGACATTCCCTAAGTTCAGATTATGAAATAATGGCTATCATACATAGTATAGAAAGGTTTAAATTATTTTTAAACACTGAATTTACAATTAGGACAAATTGTAAAGTTATAGTAAAATTTACTAAAAAGACTAATTTTGATAAGATAAGACATAAAATATAGTTGAAATTATACAAGATACTAAGCAACTATAAAATTAATATAGAACGTATTGATGAAAAAATATTATTTTAGAAGATAATTTAAGTAGGAAAGTTATTAATTTTCTAACTCATTATCTTCATAATGCAGATGGATCAAAGGATGATGAGCTATAAAAATTATTAATTATTTATTTCTTGGTATTAAATCTGATTTTAAAGTTTTTAAAGACAAGTTATCTAAAAATTCTATATTTTCTTCAATTTTTGGGTCTGGTTCTAGCTTTGGTTGTAAGGGTCCACCACGCTTAGCTCGTAACTCTGATGATTCTATAATATTAATAATAGAAGTATCTTTTCCAAAAATTATGACATAAGGAGTAATTGTTAAACTTCAATTTCTACTTAACAAGAATTTTATACCTATAACAAAGTCATCTTTTATCAGTGCATTTACTAATGTAATCGTTAAACTATACTGTCTTTCTTGAAATTTAATCTTACAATCATCAAAAAATCTTTCTTTGAATCCCATTCTACTACCGTCCATTTGACTTTTTCTTATTTCATATTCTAATTTCTGTTTACAGTCTTCTGGTACTAAATCATTTCTGATTATATTAAATGTACAACATCTTCTAAGATAGAAAGTATAGACAGAATTTTAGAATTAGCTTATCATCCTTTGATCCATCTGCATCATGAAGATAATGAGTTAGAAAATTAATAACTTACATACTTAAATTATTTGCTAAAATATTTTTTTTTCCGTCAATATGTTCTATATTAATTTTATAGCTGCTTAATATCTTATATAATTTCAACCATCTTTTATATTTTATCTTATCAATTTTTTTTTTTATATAAATTTTACTATAGTTTCACAATTTGTCCTAGTTGTAAATTCAATATTTAAAAATAATTTAAAGGTTTCTATACTATCTATGATGACCATTATTTCATAATCTGAACTTTGGGAATGTCATTCTGAGAGTGGCCCCTCAAAGATCTAATCTTCGATTCAGAGGAAATAATTTAAAAAGAGTACCAGAAAGGGAGCATTGTCTACTGGATAATCTTTGGATGGCACGTGATTCTAAACAAAAATTAGACAGCATTAACGCCCTAGCTAACCATTTTAGACAAATTCATAATCAAGTAAAAAGCAAAAATTTTAGTTTCTTTGCAGTAATTAAAGGTAGAAAGCCTAGTATATATAATTATTGTCCAGAAATACTGCAACAAGTAGAAAGATTTCCTGACCTTCTTTTCAAAAGATTTTATACGCTTGAAGAAGGTTTAAATTTTTGTAGGGAAATGATAGGATTTAATTTTCATATATTCGAAAGAATTAGATAGATCATGCAAACCCCCTCTCAAGCTTCATCATCATCTTAATCAATATAACTTTGTGGTAGTTGTGAAATTATGAATAAAGTTGTTATAAATTTAAATCTTAGAAAGCATTCGTTAGAAGAAAAACTACAACTCCTTGAAGATCAAATTTCTTCATCCCAACATACTATTAGTAAATATCAAAATGAGATTATTCAATTGCATAATAGTTTAGACAAACTTAGTTTTAGAGATACACTTAAAAAACCTATTTCTAAAGACATTGCCTCTACAAGTAGAAATTATTCTGATAAAATACAAAGACTTATTGAACTAACAGATTCTACAGCTGCAGGATAAGAAGACTTCATATGAATTAGAATA